TTCTCCGTTGCTATGTGTCTGTAATGGGGTGGGGGGGGGGGGAGGGGAGGGGGGGGAGCCGCCAACCTCGAACTTAAAACTTACACTCACTATTTTCTTCGAAAACATACGTGAGTTCCACAAAATATTCTTTTATAGTCATTTTTGGGCACTTTAAACGTCACAAGAAGCTCTATCGCAAGATGAGAGCTTCGCGCCCAAAACAAAGGAACATATGTACAAAAAGCAATAAACAGACTAAATAAAGAAATAACTAAGAAGAAAACTGCAATATTTTATTATGAGCTTTAAGAATAACAGTATCACTGACACGGATGTAACGTAAATAAGACAACGAAGACCAACGACCTAGAGTTTGTATTAAATGATCAGGAATACCAGCCGCCGCTGCAGATGTAGCTGCTCCTACCCGTAGACTATGTCCACTATAAGCAGAAGCTTCATAACCTAATTGAAGTAATAAATGTCTTAAATTGAAGATAAAAGCACGACGAGTAAATGCTTGACCGTTGGGTAAAAGAAAGAAAGGAGAATCATGATTATTGCTGTTGCGAAGAAGAGTAAAACAATTTAAAGCATGAACTGCACAATTAATAGATCCGTTTTTAAACAAACGAATATTCGCTCCTCTCCGTTCTATATCAGTTTTTGATGATTTTAAATGAATAATAATGCAGTTTATATCATATTGAACATCAGCTTTTGTAACATGTAAGCGTGGAGAAAATTTATCAGGAAATAATTCACCGGATCTGAAGAAACCCCAAAATGCAGTAGTAAGTGCTGCTTGCATTAATGTATCGAGATATGGATTAAATATACCGCATCGTAATACACCAATTAATTTGTTTAGAATATCGATGGTAATAGGTTTATATTGTTTGATGGGTAAGGAATCTAAACGTCGTGCGCCTTTAAGAACCATTTCAATTTGTGGTATTTTATAACCGTGCATATCTAAAAATGGATCAGAAAAGCCAGCACGTAAACGATAAAAACGAATAGCAGCTAAGTAAGAGCGAATTGTAGAATATCGAATGTTACGAATACCATGACAAAATGCGATGAAACGTAAAATAAGATTATGGGGTAAATGATAAGAATGCATGTTAAAACCGGACATAACTGCAAAACGAGTAAAAAGTTGATAACCAGAAGAATACGAGGTTTTCGAAGTTGAAGAAATAGTATTATTAAATAAATCAGTTACAATACTATCGATTCGATCGATGGAAAGGTTAAGTCTTTCATTGAAGGAACGTTTTTCGGGTATCGATCGGCGGTTGGTAATAGTTGACGAAAGCGATTTACCTGAAAACGAGAGAGAGCATCGGCTAAATTATTTTCATATGTAGAAATATAAACAGCTCGTAATAAAAATTGATGTTGCATGGCAAGTAAAGTTAATCTACGCGTAAACGCCATAATAAAAGAGCTTTTTGATCGACCTTTATTAATTATGTTAACTGTAGCCTGGTTATCACATAAAAGACAAATTCGCTTCCTCTTCCATTGAGAGCCCCATAAAACTGCGGCAATAACGATAGGAATAATCTCGAAGAATGCTGTTGATTGTTCATTTTCTGGAAGATTAAGCATTTGCTCAGACCACCGATGAGCAAACCACTCATTCCCCAAAACAGCACCACATCCGATAGTTGTACTAGCATCCGTAGAGAAAGCCATATCAGTATTGGTGAAAATATTAGGATCAAGAAAGAAAAAAGTTCCGTTCCATTCACTCAAATGTCGATACTACATTGTTAGTTCGAGTTGGGCTTGCCGATTAATGGTAATATGTGATTCTAGAGATCGGACATAAGTGGTCAAGTTGAATAAATAATGAACAAATGTTCTGCCTGGAATAACAACCCTTGATGCAAATGACATGTGACCTAGGATAACTAGTAATTCACGTTTTTTACATTTACGTCGATTAAGTAAAGAACTAATCATTTCCATGATACGTAATACTTTTTCTTGAGGTAACCTCGCCTCCATTCGATTTGAATCAAGAATAATACCTAAATATTCAATTTCTTGAACAGGACCGACGGTTTTATTTACTGATAAAGGAATTTTAAGCCGATTGAAAATAAAACTAATAATGGCAGATGTTCGTTCTCCACCGTCATCGGGACTGTCTACTACAAAAAAGTCATCCAATAAATGTAACATGTTTTTAATACCATAATTATGTTTAGCAATCCAAACAATAGCTTCACTTAGCATGTCAAATAATTTAGGTGAACTACGCGAACCAAATGGTAAGCGTACAAAGAAATAATAATAATTATTCCACTTAATGCCGTAGAAGGGCCATAGAGATGGTTTAATGGGAAGCAATTTAAAAGCATCTTGAATATCAGCTTTATTCATCCAGGCACCCTTTCCTAATTGCTGAATACTTTTAATAGCATCATCAACAGTAACATATGATAGAGAATAGGAATCTTTATCGATTAAAGAATTAATACTTGGATGGTCTTTATCATTATGAGGAGCAGATAAATCAACAATTAAACGTTTCTTTTTTGAATATTTCGATTCAACCAAACCAATAGGATTTATTCGATAATTAATAAAAGGTGGAGAGTTGTATGGACCGATTAAGAAACCTTTGTTAAGTTCTTCTGCCACTAAACGAGTAACATTTTTAGGATCACAGCGTGCTGATCGTAAATTGGGGCATTCTAAAGGTTTATTAGGTATGTTGGAGATACCAGTATCAAAACCTTCACGTAAGCCTGATAACAAGAATGAAGTAAATTCCTTGTCAGGATGACCAACTAATTCTTGCTCCAATCGACAGATATCAATTGGCGTAGTTGCTACTAGAGGAATGCTCGTAGAGCAACTGGTAACTATAAATAAAGGATAATTAGATCAATTATAGCAAACATAATTCAGCGACTCATACCATAAATACGTTAATACAATTTAAATGAAAAAAAAAATATACTCTATTAGAGAATCCTTAATCGTTATAACTTATTTCTATGTTTATTATATTATTATTCGTACTTGTAGGTGTATTTAATTTTTTTTTTTTTTTTTTTTTTTTT